CTCTTTTGTCTTGTGACACGTCCGCGGGAACCCGATCTGAGTGGGATTAGGAGACGGTATCTGGGCAGGGACAGTGGCCTGAAGACAATAGCTGCCCCTCCCCCAGGGGCTATTTCGGGGGGATGTCGTAGACAGTAAAACAGAGGACACCTCCTAAAAAGGGACTGGAGTGGGGGGAGGGCTTTGGGAGACTTAGTCCCACCCGGTCCCCTCTCCCACCCCCAGGTCCCACCCCTCCCCTCTGGTGGGGCACCTTCCCACCTGTTTCCTTTCACCTTCACCCACAGCCAGGGAGGAGGCAGGCCGCCCGAGGCCTCACCCTCACCCCTAAGTAGACCCCCAATCTATGCTACCTCCCAGGCCCCAAGGTGCCCACGTTGAGTCCCCCTAAATCCCAATACCCACAGATCCTGAGACCCCCAATTTATGATGCACCAGTGAGTCCTCATGTCCAGATTCTGAGACACCATGTCTTGACACCTCCTAAATTCTGAACCTCAAGATCATGAGACACCAAAATCGGATCCCCAAACTCAGAGGCCCAATTCACAGTACCTCCTAACTATGACACTGAAAGTTTTGCCACCTCCAATCACAAGCCTGCAGAGCTTGTGTCCCCAACTCCTAGAACCCCTGATTCTGACCCCCCAGTCCTGACACCCAGACTACTTGAAGTCCAAGCCCAGACACCCCCAATTTCTGAGATTCCCTGACTCTGAGACTTATGTCCCAAGGTTATATTCTGGGACACCAAATCCAGAAGGACCCCCCAGATTCTGTAACCCCCAAATCCTCATATCCATGCTCCTCTGCCTCCCTACATCTCCACTCCCCTCTGTCTCCCACCCTCCCAGCCAGGAGATCCCCGGAGCCCTCACCTGAGGCTGGGTCTGCAGCGGTATGAACGTGCTGGGCAGCTGAAGCACCCCCAGTTTATAGCGGAGCTCAGCCCCGCCCCGGGAGGGGGGGAGAATTCCTTTCCCCAAACACTAGTCGGGGGACAGGCCGCCCTGCCCCCACTCTGGCTCCACATTAATGCTCCAGGCCCCTCCTGCTTGCTGAGACCCCTTCTCCGCCCCACGGGTGCCTCCCAGGAGCACCAGGCTGGGTGAGACGACCCCCGGGTCCCCACCTCCCTACCACACATGGTGTTCTAGGCTCTGAAGTCCCTGGCTTAGCACACAGAGGTCCTTGGAGAATGCTTATTGATGACAGGGGTACAGGGGACGTTTTCTCTTTCCAAGGCTCTCGTCCCCCTTTCTGTGTCTCTCTGGGTGTCTATCTCTCACACCCTGTTTCTCTGTCTCTGTCTCTCCTTTGTCTTGGTGACTCCCCATTGTGTCTCTCTCCGTCCATCTTTCTGTCTCACACTCCCTGCCCCCACCCTTTGTCTGTCACCAGAATTCCACCCTGGTGACAACAGGCGCTAAAGCAAGGAAACAGGTGTGTGACGGACGGGGGAGGAAAGAAGGAGGGGTGTCAGGCCCGCACGACCTTACCCCCCCACCTCTATCTGACTTGGACCTTTTTTGGTATCTCTCCCCCTCCTTCCGTGCCAAGCCATGACCTTGACCTCCAGGGGAGCCGGCCCAGGAGAGCAAACACCTCGCCCCTCCCTGTCTCTCAGCGGGTCCTGGTCTCACTCTCTACGATCTCTGTGTTTCTCTTTCTACGCATTTCTCCGGGTCTCCTGTGTGTCTGTCTGTGACCCCTTGTCTGTCTCTCTTTGGGTCTATGTCCACGTCTCTACCTTTTTAGCTGTTTTGGGGTCTCTCTTCCTGTCTCTGCAGGTATCCCTCCACAGGTCCTCATTTCTGTCTGTCTCGCTGCGTGTATCTCTCTCCATGAGTCTGTCTTTCCTCCTCTCCCCTTGGGTCTCCCTGTTTCTCTCTCTGGTCTCTCTCTGTCTCTGTGGGCCTCAGTCTCAGCATCTCTGTGGCTCCCGCATGGAGCAGAGGAGCCCAGAACACCCCAGTTGGAGACCCAGCTCTGCTCCTGGTGTGCGGTGTGCCTTCCCGGAGCCCAGCCCTTGGCTCTCTGACTCCCACACCCAAGCCCCAGGTAGCAGACACACAGCCACTGCTCTCGGACTGAAGCTTTATTCCTCAGGGCGGGGCGTCGGGCAGGCCGGCTCAACCCTCAAACTTTTTCTTGCGGCCCTCCATGCCACTCAGCGCATCGATGTTCTTGCGCCAGTCTCCCACCTCCCGGTTTTCCTGGGGAAACGGAGTCAGAGGTTAGAGTGTCTTCCCTCAAATATCCTCCAACTGCCTTCCAGTCTGCTGGGCCCAAGGATCCAGTTCTGGAACATTTCCTGTCCCTTCAACAATCCCATCCAATTTGCCCCATGCACTTTCTGCCTCCCTCCTGCACTTCCTGCCTCCCTCCTGCACTTCCTGTGTCTCTCCTGCCTTTCCTGTCTCCCTCCTGCCCTTCCTGTCTTTCTCTCCTGCCCTTCCTGTCTCTCTCCTGCACTTCCTGTCTCCCTCCTGCACTTCCTGTCTTTCTCTCCTGCACTTCCTGTCTCCCTCCTGCACTTCCTGTCTCTCTCCTGCCCTTCCTGTCTTTCTCTCCTGCACTTCCTGTCTCCCTCCTGCACTTCCTATCTCTCTCCTGCCCTTCCTGTCTCCCTCCTGCACTTCCTGTCTCCCTCCTGCACTTCCTGTCTTTCTCTCCTGTACTTCCTGTCTCCCTCCTGCACTTCCGGTCTCTCTCCTGCCCTTCCTGTCTTTATCTCCTGCACTTCCTGTCTCTCTCCTGCGCTTCCTGTCTCCCTCCTGCACTTCCTGTCTCCCTCCTGCACTTCCTGTAACCCTCATGCACATCCTAACTCCATGCTGCTCGTTTCTCCTAATGCGCTTCTAGTCTCCTCTACCTTCCCCTGCTTCCTGTCTCCCTGTGCCCTCCTGTACTTCCAGTTGAAGGTTCCTTTCCAGATTCTCCTCCTCAAAAATCCCAAGTCACGTGCCCTGAGGCTGGGCGCTGGGTCTGCTGCCCCCACACCCCTCCTCTAGGCACCCGGTCCTGGCCCAGCCACACTCACCTTCTCCGTGTCCTCCTTCTTCACCTGCTTGAGGTGGGCCCGCAGGTCTAAGGACTCCTTCGCCCGGGTGCCCAGCAGCGCCTGCATCATAGCATCCGCAGAGATCCGCACCCTCCGCAGGGTGGGCCGCTTGAACTTGCCCCGGAGGTCAAAGATCTTCTGGGTCAGATCTGCGATCTGGGGGTGAGGGGGCATGAGGGAGGTGGAGACCTCTCCCTCCACCACCCCCCGCCCCACT